TTCTCTGCTGTTCGAAATTATCAAACAGAAGTAGGTGTGTATGCTCACCAGGCTACCCGAAAGAATTATTTCTAACTGTGAATCACTAGTTTTCACTATATACCTGGGACAATACCAACAGATGTCACTGAATGAGGTTTGTGCTAAGTATGCATGAATATAGTCATGCAAAGAGCGGATCCATCTCTTAGCTGTTTTCATGATTTATGGTAAGCGATAAAATCATCGGCGATAGCAGTAACATTTGTGCTCTGATTTCTTCACCCAATGTACCGTATACTCAACCAGAAACTGTATCGCTAGCATAGGATATCGAAGGGCTGGTGCCTTTCTTACCACAATTGAGGCATTATTTTAAAAAACGCAGAAAAGAAGAAAATATTTCTTATTGCAAATTCTAATTGATCTGTGTACTTCTGCGAATGTTTGCGTTCCAATCGCTTCGCTTTCAATATATTCCCAGGCACAGTTTGTGTTCACTCTAAGCATTTTTTTAACACATGGTCCCCAGCTGTTCTTTCTCTCTCTCTCTCTCTCGTAATTTTCATCGAGGTAACTAATCCGCTTTATTGTGTCTAATAGCGTGATAGCGTGAGCAATTTGTTCCCGTTTTTGTGTCTACGAGAGAGTGTAAATTCCACTTCGCCTGTTCGCCGAGCTGGGCAATTTGTTTGCAAACGTTTCATCACCAGCCGAGGTGACATCATCAATGCTTGTGAAGTGGCCACTTCACAAGCACCGACGATGTCACCTCGGCTGGTGATGAAACGTTTGCAAACAAATTGCCCAGCTCGGCGAACACGTGAAGTGGAATTCAGTTCACCCGATCTACGAGGACCAATTTTCAATATCTTGTCAAGAGTCTAAATTATATCATATACATATATAAATATATATATATATTATTTCAAACACCAGTTGAAATGCACATCACCGGATTGGTCGCTTTCATACACCTTTTATTGATCCAAGGCTACTGTTCAAATCGATCGGATTCGTCGCTCTCTCACCCTCGGATTTACGCGTATTTTCTTTCATGTTCTGCCCGACCACGCGTTCTCGTGCGCGTGATCCGGTGGTGCCACTCGAGGATGCTTAGATTGTTTGGGTTTTACATCCCTGCAGTGTGAATATATGAGCTTCATTTGTGCTGTCTTGAACAGACTAACTGATAGGACCAAATCTCCTTTCTTCGAATCGGAATACACGTGACCCTTGGTGAAACCAACCGGAAGATGGGTGGTGAATAAAAGGTGCAGCTTTTATTGTCTACCATTAGATCTCCTGATCCGGATATATAGCTCTCATCTCTCGCATCGTAAATTGAATGAATAGGCTCCTGTCTTGTCGTCAAAATGTGCTTTCATTCAGAGTCAATTTGTTATACATCAGTTTGTTCCCTACACGCGGATACATTCACTTCTCAACCCTAAAATTGATCCTTATTATTGCACTGTGATTGATGAGTAAAAAAAATAGGTCTTTAAGATGTTAGGAAAACAACAATAATGGTTGGTATATAATGTTCTATCTTGTAGCGATTGTCGCTCTATTTACACTATTGTAGAGACATTCAATTCATCGACGGAATCAAGAAATCGTTACCTAAGAACCGGTGATCGTCTAGATTTATTAAGTAGTCTATCTTTGAGTTTCAAAAATGACTACCGTTTTCATTAATATAATAATTAGAAAATGAGAAGATGATAGCTTATAGTTGGGGTATGTGAAACAATTTTCAAAAACCTAACACATGTCCTACATCATGTTCACTGATATTTCGCTCGCAACTCTGCCGTTGCTTCCTGCGAGATTTCAAATTCGATGTTACATGTGGTCATTGTTCCGTTATCGAACATTTTCACCCAAGGAGGTGAAAGAAGAGACCATTTAAAATTCGTGCTTTACTTGACAAGCGATGACAATTTGAAACAGGAAGATCAAAAATGATGAAATTGAGAACAGTTAGCGAAATCAAGTGACTCGGCATAATGACACTCACCAGGTTAGCGCTCAGTTGGCTGTAATTGTGTTCTTTTTTCAAAGGAGCCTAGAACTGAACATCTTAGTGGCCACTGCTTACGCAATTTTCATCGGCTTTTCGTTCCTGGTACGGTGAGTTATGAACCTTTTGTGGAAAACCTGTCTGAGGAAGAAAGCATATATGCTAATCGGTGGATTCCATTTATCTCGGTACCCAAAGTTGGTGGTTCAATGTAAAACTATTCCAAGCTGTCGGTGTGGTCCCACATTTCAGCTGTTAACATGAGCGTGGCAGGAAAACATAGGCAACTTCCTTATGTGGTTTCGAATCCTACTGAGTTTTTCTATTTTTGCACAATCCAAACATTAGTGAATATCAGTCGATTATTTACTAAAACCAAATAATATGAACCAATGTGCCTTGGGGCCTTTACTCGTAATCTGCATCCTGAATATGTTTGTAGTGGCTATTTCGACTCCTTCTAAGCGAGACTTTTCTAGCTATTTGTGCTAACGGTTCTTTCAACTTCGGATATGTCGAAGAAAGATGCCTATATGCTCAGTTATGGTAGCTGGGCATACCATAAGGACCCCTATCTTCTTAACGTTTCTAAATTTTTATTCTATCGAATGGTTTACGTCATTGATCGATAATAGGAATTCGTTTTTCTTCCACAATGATGAAGACCTGTGTTTATTACCCATCGCTCTCATGGATCTGTTCCTTGGCTATTTTTAAACCCGGTTGATATAGATGATTATCTCTCAGATAAAGAAACGCTCACTCTTACATCAGGAAAGAAATTAGTTTTAGCCACAGGAACAAATGATACGAGTTTGCTATGGAACGAGGTGGACTGAATGATCGTTGCAAATGTTGAGCACGGAGATCTAAGTAGATGAGATTTTTCATAGGTTTCTTTCGTTATGTACCGTTGTTTCTCCTGGCCACCAACTGGAATTTTTCGTCTCAAAGAAATTTTCATTGAACTNTCAATTCAGTCCGTCCACCGAGTAGTCGATAAACTGAGTTGAATAGTCCTGAGCGAATGCCTTGTCAGGCGACTAGAAAGCCAATCATCCGGTGACCACAGCTTTTACAAGTGACTCTGTTGAGTACTGCCTGTGCACTGTCCTGTGTCAGCAATCAGGATTTTCGGCTGCTCTACGTCTGTTACTCTTCCTCTGAGATTTTACACTGCAGTGTGGCTGATTGGGTCGTGCAACATATTCCGTAGCTGACATAATTTTTACATAATAGGTTTCTTGTTCTGTCTACAATCGTGTATTATAATAACCAGAAAACAAGTTCTGGGGAGGACGTAGATAACTTTGTATCAATTTTTCTTCTTCGTTGAATTCTTAACAACTGCTGTTGATAGCTTTATTAATTGTGCAACCAACCTCATTAGTTGGACGAAACATGTTATTTCGTCCCGTTTGCACATAGAGACATGCACCGAAACATCGATCAATACCATTCCAGTTAGGTCTTTTTCATTGCATTCCTCTGGAACACTTATTCATTTTCTACAACTTGTCCTAATCTGCCTCCCTTATACTGTAACCCCATTTTTTCACTACGCTGCTCTACCATACTTGATAAGGAACATTTGCCCTAGTGGTGATGGCGTTTCTGATGGTAATGTGCATTGACGGGTTAGTGCGTCGCATATCGTNGATTGTTCAAATTACTCACAACTTTATGTGATCAGTGTTCATCATCGAAAAACTATGGAGGTTAATTTGATGCTCCCATAGATGAGAAAACGCTCTCTGTTTCATTTTACGACACCGGATTCGCGCTAAACAGTCGGATGCTTGCCAAATTGTGTGGAAGGAGGATTTCCGGATTGCATTACTGTACCCAAACTCGTTTATCTTGGACTAAACGCAGCTGCATGACTCTCCCTGTTGAAATTATCGAGAGTAGAAGAAAAAACAGTGCGTAGAACGCGGTATCGAGGTTGTAGAAATAAGTGATCGAAACACAAATTGATATTT